GTTGACATTTCTACGGCTGGCCTGTAGCTGTGCTTACACAGCCTCTTCTCCCCACAGACTCAGGAGATCCAATATCTATTCCAAGGCAGAGCACCTCTGGAGCTTGTAGCTGACATGGTCAGTTGGGCAGATGTACCAAACAATGGAGAGCTACTAGGTGTGCTCACCAAACTGGGCAATCAGGAAAAAGACATTTCAAACATTTGCAGGGCTTTAAGGGGAGTGGGTCCTTCGGTCTGAGTGACCCCTGTGCAGTGGAGTTAATAATTGTGACCAGAGTGTACAGTGTCAGGCACTGTGAGACATCTGCTGGAGGACTGTTAGGAGTGACGCAGGTAGGGTGACCAGATGTCCCGATTTTATAGGGACAGTCCCGATTTTTGGAGCTTTTTCTTACATAGGCACCTATTACCTTTCACCCCCGTCCCGATTTTTCACACTTGCTGTCTGGTGACCCTAGACACAGGTAATGCAGCGTCTTCACTCGTTCTGCGTCAATCTCAGTATATTGACCATAGCTCAGCAATACTTGGGGTGCTGGTGTTACTATGTTGGCATAATGGGGTACTTATATCAGTATCAGACAAATTTTAAATGTTTACATACACAACTAGGTTGATACAAGGTCGCTTGTGTTGACGTCACTTTGTAGATCAGGCCTGAAATGGCAAAAGCATAGAAACTACAACACAGGATTAAGAGGAAGCAATTTTCCAGCCCTGTACTTTTGCCATATGATCATTTCACCCAGGTTTCAAAAGTATTAGTGAGATGATGTTTGTAAAAACATTGTCAAGGGATAGTTTATTCTTGTAAAGATTTTAATTAGAAAGTTAAATGCTATTGTCAATAAGGTACTAAACATTTCTTTTGTTAAACACCAGATTTTTTGGAACAATGCAATTTAGAAACCTGCATCATGTGACACTGTACCTGCCCCATGAGGCATTGCAAACTCTTCCCAAAGCACACTGTGGTCAGCTGCACGGGGGGATAGCTACCAGAGTGTTCTGCTCTCTATGTTGGTGCAAGAGCTGCTAGTGTGGATGAGCTCTGCCAACACAAGGAGCATAGTGTGGGCATGCAATTATGGTTTAATTAAAATGCTTTAATTAAAGTGGCATAACGTTTGGTGACAAAACTCTGCAGTGTAGACATAACCTTAGTTAAGATCACTTGCCTCTGCTTATTTATAAATTCTTTGCTGTTTTCCATGCTAAACTTAACAGGAGCATTAAACAACATCCCTTTGCCCATCTGTTAAATTGTTTTAGTTATCTATGATATATTATATGATACAAGATGATATATTAAGTCAGGATGCACTACTGATTGAGATAATGATATACTTTGTTCTTAACTTACATAGAAACAGGGACCGCTTATTGTGTAATCTCTGTACCAAAGCTCTAAACAAGGGAGACGTACAGCAGAAATTGCAACAGAAATAACCATTGTGTTGTGCTTGCTTTTTTTTCCTTTTTATATCAATAAAATGTTCATAATGAATAACTGAATATTTTGCTCATCTCTAATGATTGTGTCACAAAGGATGCTAAAAACCACCTGTGACTAAAACAATGGGGGTCACATCCCTGAATAGGCATTAACAGAGATTATTAGTAAGATTTGTCCCACCCTTTCTTCTTTCTCTTCACTGCCAAGATTAATAATTTTAAGGATAAAATCTCTTAGTTCCCAACATCTTAAATGATCCCATAAAGCATTACACTTATATATCCACATTTATCTCCACCCATCCCTATCACCAGGAGGTGCTTTGCTGTCCTGTATGTAACTAATGACAGAAGTATGAAGGAGAACAGTGTTTGTGGGGAATTGGTTGTCTGTAGCTAGAGGTTCCTTTCCCCCAACTGCCTTTCTGTTCAGATTGTATTTTTCTTTGTCATAGGATGCAACTGTGCAAGAGAGCGAGTGCACATGTTAGATCAGTATGACTATAGGTCAGGTATTGAAACACTGTACCAGTCACAGCCCCTTCCACATATCCCACCAGTCTGCCCCAGGGGCTTCCTTACACCATCACCGTCACCCCCTCAATGCACTTTTGTTCCTTTCCTGTTTATCTTTCTCTTGCATCTGACCTATAGGGGGTATAGCTCCCATTCTGGCCGTGCATAAGAGAGATTGTCCTGGGCCATTACATATATGATTATGCCTGGGTGAATAATGAACAAAAAATCATAAATAATACATTTGATAATAAATGGAAAAATAAGCAAGCTATTCACTTGACAACTGCTCAAATAGTAAAAAAACAACCTCACATTTTTAGAAACATTTTATTAAAAGAAAAATGAAAACATTTGTCAGATAATCTTGTTCAAACAAACAGAAGAAGGTTAGTTTTGGGTCAAGGCACTGAAATTGGTCTAAAGAGATGTGAGTTCAGTTCTCAGCTCCATCCCAGACTCCTTAGGCAACTTACTTAGTTCCCAATCAATCAGAGCAGGTAAGCACATGGTTAACTTTCAGTTTGTGAATAGTGCCACTGAGATCACTTGTCTATTTAACCATATGCCTGAGAGCTTTGTTAGATCAGGGCTTAAAGGTCTTTGGACCTTAGTTCCTCTATTGTAAAATGGTAAAAAGGTATATGTCCTTCCACCCATTTCCTGTCTTGTCTAGTTAGATTGCAATCTCTTGTTTGGGCAGGGGCTTTCTCTTACTATGTGTATTTACAGTACACAGCATGACAGAGCTTTAACTCTTCTTAAGGTTTCTAGGCACTACAGAACTATAAATACACTAACAAAAGAACTTCATTAACACAGAATTAAGGTGGATGTATCTTGTGTCCTTCCAGAAAGTCAAGCTCTGCAAAGTTCAAACCTTGTTCAGGTCTCAGCTCCATCACAGATTCCTGAGGCAAGTCACATGGGTCCCAATCAAGCAGACCACTTAAGCATAGCTTAACTTTGTCATGTGCCCATTTCCCTGAGTGATGTGCACTGTCTGCAAAGGAAGAGCATGTATGTATGCTATGGACCATCGTTCAATGAGGGTGGAGTGAAGATTGCTTTGGCATCACACAGTCAAATCCCTGAAACTGAAACCTCTGAAAACCAGGAAATACAGAGTTCAGGGAGTGCACACCATTAGAAAGCTTGTTTTTTTTCCAGGGGACTGTATCTTAGGAATCCCTAAGTTAAAGGACACTAAATTTGGCTCACTAACTCTCCCTCATATCCCTGTCAGGCAAATCAAATTTGAAGGCAACCTGAGTAACTGTGGATTTTAGAGCACTTATAATAGTCAATTTTTAAATAGGAAGCAGGTTTTAAACTTAGCTAAAGCAGACCTGGAGGCCCACTATAATAAATATTAATAACACAATAACAACAATTCAGCCAGCTGTGTACATGACCACAGACTGCTAGCTCATCTGCTGTATAATATTTTAGTGTTTCTGTTGAAAATTGGATCATACATGAATTTACACGTGTAGTTCTTTGGGTGATATTCTGTAATAATAGTTAAGGCTACGATTTAGTCATGGACATTTTTAGTAAAAGTCATGGATATGTCATGGGCAATAAATAAATATTCAGGGAAGCCATGACCTGTCCCTGACTTTTATTATAAATATCCATAACAAAATGAAGAGCACCCTGACCTACTGTGGCTGGGAGCTGCAGCCCTTGCCCCTGCCCCGTGGCTGGGAGCTGAGAGCTGGGACGGTCCCCTGCCCATAGTGGCTGGGGAGCTGTGGGGGATCCCCCACCTCCTGGGGACTGGGGAGCTCTGGGGGATTCCCCCGCTGGCAGCGGCAGCTGAAGAGCTGCTGGAGACCCCCTGCTGCTTGCAGGGAGTGGGGAGCTCCGGGGAATTCCCCCCACCCACGACACTGGGGCGCTCTGGGGGATTCCCCTCATCTGCAGCAGCTGGGGACCTGCGGGGGATCCCCCCACCACCTGCTTGTAGTGAGGAGCTCCAGGGGATTCCCCTGCCGGCAGCGGTGGCTGAGGAGCTATCGGAGATCCCCTGCTGCCCACAGCAGCTGGGAAACTGTGGGCCCCCCGACACTCCTGGTGTCAGGGCTACTCAACAGCTCCCAGACACCACGGGTGGTGGGGGTACCCTGCAGCTCCAAGCTGCTGTGGCCTGAAGTCATGGAGGCCTGTGGAAGTCATGGATTCCGTGACTTCCACGATCTCCATGACCAAATGATAGCCTTAATAATAGTATTTAGATTCAGAGAAGCTAATAATGGGAAAGGGGTAGGGACAAAAAGGCTACATGGTTCATTATGGTGAGTGCAGTAGCATGAATATACCCCTGGTTTTCTCTACTGTGGTATTAAAAACATTCAGTGGAGAGGGAGGGGTTCCATTTTTGGTTATTGTTTAGGTATTGGGCCAGGGAGTAAGTTTATTTCCCACTGTGATTGGAATCAGACCTAGACTGTTTTGTCACGTTAAAGATTTTTATATCAAAATATTTGTTTGGGGAGCAAGGATGAGAGAGCCTGAACCATTTTCAATAGGTGAGACAAACAGAAAAAAAAGAAAGAAACAGGCAACGGGAGTGAAAAGTCAGCATCATCTTTCCCAGGCTGAGCATAAGTGGACGGGAGAGGAGAAACAGCTTGACCAATCAAGCTGACCACACCCCAGCACAGCTGCCAGAATAGGCAATCATGAAGGCCTGCACCCACAGTTGGGACCAATCAGGAAAACAAGTCCAGCGATAAAGGAAGGAGAACAGAGAGAGATGAGAAGGCTGAACAGCCTGGGATAGTGGAGGGGCACCAGAACCTGTGCCAGGCTGCCTCTAAGAAACTGACAGGGAGACAAAGGAAGACTGGAGCTTAAGGGCTGCTTGACTCATTTTATATTAACTTGTTGGACTGGGATAATTTGAGATGAACAGGGCTGTCTCTACCATTTTTGCCGCCCCAAGCAAAAAAAAAAAGCAGCGCCCGGACTGTGCCACCCCAAGAATGGACGGAATGTGCCGCCCCTTAGCATGGACAGAATGCCGCCCCTTAGCATGAGCCACCCCAGGCATGTGCTTCCTCCGCTGGTGCCTGGAGCCGGCCCTGGAGATGAATAGAGGGAGACCAGTTAGGATAAAACTGGGACCTAGCCTAGAGAGAATTTCCCAAGAGCAGTTGGCACCATCTGAGAGAATACAGAAGGTGTCAAGGTAGAGCAAACAGGTAAGTGAAGAGTAGTCAGCCCCCAAATGTTACTGTTTGATTGCTGGGTTTAGATTTCACTCGACCTGTCTTAGAGAATCTACTGTTTTTCAAAACCAGAGGAGATTTTCAGTGGCTCAGTGTCTCTTGTAACAGCAGAGCCTGTAGAGAAGAAGGGATAAAGTTTCTCTTCAAAGTTATCAGTAAAAGTGTAAAAAACAAATTTGCTGTCAACATTGTAAAATGACAACTTTCCTGCTGACATGTCCAGGAACATCCCAATCTTACTTGGTTTTCCACTCACTGTTAAACGGGTCCAGGGATCTGTGCGAGCCCAATAATCTTTCCCATCTGTTAACCCTATGACCCAGTAGCCATTCTTTGGGGACAGAGTGATCTTCCCTTTTCTAGACACATCTTCACGGGCCACCCCCAATTCCCAGTTACTTTTCTTCCCAATGTCCACTTCCCAGTAATGTTTTCCAGATTCAAAACCTTCAGATGCCAGCACAAACATCTGGGAGTCAAATCTCTTCTCATTGTTTGGCACATTTCTAACAGCTCCCGTGTCCCTCACACACTTCCCTCCTTCAGAAACTTCAAGCCTAGGATGAGCTGTGTCAAGGTCCAGAGTGACATCAGCTTCTGGAAAAAAAGGGAAAAGTCTTCACTGCACAAGCCTCCAAACTCTTGAAGCCTCCAAAACAGAATATGATTCTGTCTGTGCACTGTCTAGTAAGCGGGAGGGATCCTTTTTATTTAAAAGAAGAAATGTGAACATGCAATATTTACTCTGCAAACTCTCAGATGAGCTACTTCTGGTTATTAAGGATTACAAACACTGATTTTCTTTTGAAGAAAAAGAAGGCAAACGTAACATAAAAGACCTTTAAATCTAAAGTATATGATGTAGGTTTTTTTTTCAAATATAAATACTAAAACACCCTTTTCTCATTTCTGAACTAATTTTGCCATTTGTGGGTTATTTTCTTCCATTCATTTTAAAATGGCTTGCAAAGGATTTATTTTTTTTAACCACACATTTTTGGACTTTGCATTTCCCCCATTCTTTTTCATGATATATACATTGGGTGTGAAAGACTTTGTGTTTTTTCTAAAGTGGAGTTGCACCTGCTTTAAGATGACACGATTCAAATCAAAGCAATTTAAAACACTGATTTTAATCATGATTTAAACCAGCAAGCAGGTAACCTTTATTTAAATTTTTGCTTTTAATCTTGTTTTGCATTTGAACTTTTTCTTTTCCTAAAAAAAGATTGATTCTCTTTTCTTAGTAACCATTAGAACATCTTGATTTCACTCTAACTATAGCCTATACACAAAATTTGGTATTTCTTTTTGCTAACCAAGAGGATGAACACTATGTCTATATATTTTTATTTGAGCAATTACATAGCTTAACAAACATTTTTTCAGATACTTCAATTTTTTCTCGATGTTTGGAAATAATGAATGAAGCATTTCTTATTTACTAGATTATTATATTATTACTCAGGATTTGTAACGACCTCTGTTCGGATGGAAATTAGAATTCAATTAAAAATGCACAAAAATAGCACTGTAAAAATGCTTTTTGATTAGTTAAATAAAAAGTACTTTAAGCCCCGGATGCATAAGAAAAAATGTTTATCAAAACATATTTTGTTTTTAAAACTAACTGAGTATTAAAAAAAGAAAGTATTATATCCTGGTTATGACTAGGGATCCTGCATGCAATGATAATATAAATAACACTAATAATTAATAAGAACAATTAGTTAGTGAATTGAACTGATTGGTTTCGGTCTTCATGGCCCAGATTTTTAAAGGTATTTAGGTATTCCTGTGCTCAGCAATACCAAATTGATTTAGGAACCGAAATCTCATTTTCAGAAGTGATACGACTGTCAATGGGATATTGGCTCCTAAATTCCTAAATCCCTTCTGAAAATCAGATTTAAGCTCCTGAATCAGTTAGACATTGCATTCTAAGCACAGCAATACCTAAATACCTTTAAAAATCTGGGCCCATGTTCTTTGAGATGTTAGAATCAGTGAATCTCATCTTCTAGCACAAGTTTGTATTCATAGATTGGAAGAGAAAAACAAGCTTTCCTGCTTTTTCAACTCCCAATTGGCTTCTTCACTTTGAATGAGCTGAACTGAACTAGTTGTATAAACTGAAATGCAGAGAATGTTCTCTGTGTCTGCAGAAAAGGTCACTGCTGTCAAAAGCTGGTTTAGCACTTAGGCAAACTATGGATCATGGTGCTTAGCCAGTGACTTTCACCAGTTTGGTGGTTTGACTGTCTTTAAAACTTCAGCCAGAAACATGTACTGCTTCATAAGTTTTTATTGAATTTAAATTATTTTAATTTAGGCCTTCATATAGGTTGGCATAATTTCAAATTTAATTTCAAATAGACATTTTAAAAAAAGACAAAAATTGAATTTAAATTAAAAAATCCAATTTAAATTAAAAAAAATCTGATTTAAATAAAAACAATCACCAGTTTTTATTCACAAGAGACAGGAAATCTAAGTTGATCCCAGGGTCGAACATGCTATGAAATGTGATGTAACTATAGATGTAATGTTAAAACAATTTAATTAAACGAGTGCAACTCTGTATGTTGATACTTCTTCATCAGTTTAAACCTAGATTACATCGGTTTAGCTTGCATAGATGCAATTTTTGGGTTTAAAGAACCTCTCTGCCATGATTAATGCATGTTGAGAATCTTGTTATTTTACAGATACCCCTGTTTATTTCAACCTCTCGTGCATTTCAATATTCAGCCATCTACAGTATTTGTTTCACTAGCTCCCCATTTTATATAAGGGCTGAATTTGGCTGATTAATTCTGTTCCATTGAGGTAAACACCACAATTAACATTTTTATCCTAATTTTTGAAAGCTTGGCCGAAGTTTGGAGTTACTTCTCAGTTCTTACAATTACCACCAATATTTCAAGAGTAAGATAATTTGATGAGTAAGAACCCTGTCCTAAACAACAATGATTAAGAGTTAGCTCCCTGTTACTGCTTTCTAATTAGCATTTGCTTGGGAGCTAGAGGTTTCCCAGCTATTTATTTTCAATATTTTTTTTTCCTTTTTTATTCTCACCTTTGTGGAAATAGTCCTTCAACAATTCTGTAAATAAAAGCACAAAGGAAACATTATTGAACGTGCTATATCACAAAATGGTTCATTTTGGATTCCGCATGCCTGTAAGAGAGGCAGAACCTTTGTTATGCTCAGACAAAGCTTCTAAGCAGGTGATTCACATTTAGCTGCCTAACTCCTGGGACCCAAGGGTTATGTCTACATTGCAATTAGACACCACAGCTGGCCTGTGCTCTCTGACTCAGGCTTGGGTTAAGGGGCTGTTTAATTGTGGTGTTGACATTCAGGCTTAGACTGCAGCCCGAGCTCTGGGACTCTCCCACCTCACAGGACCTTAGAGCCCAGGCTCCAGCCTGAGCCCGAATGTTTACACCATATTTAAAGAGCCCCTTAGCCTGAGTTAGTGGGCACAGGCCAGCTGTGGATGTCTAACTGCAGTGTAGACATGCCCTATGTGTCCAGAATGTCATGTGACAGTGAGGGAGCTCAGTACTATCTCCAGGCTGCCCCCGCCAGACTCCAGCAAATCTCCATGCCTCCCAGTCAGACTCCAGACCCAGAGAGAAATCCTAGAGGCTCTGTCCTTCAAAGAGTCCTCAGACCTCTAGGAACATTCTGCTCCATAAGCCAGATGCCTGGAGAGACCCTAGTCAGCCTCCTACCCCTTAGCCAACCCTCAGCCCCCTGTCCTCCTGCAAGAACCCAACCACCAGTTCCTTAGAAGATAGCCCTCAGACAGACTTCTGTGCCTCTCCCAGATAACACACACTTACCAATCCTAGCACTCCCAGACATCCAGCACCCACCCAAACCCAACAGCATCCAGCATGCCAACCCCAGAAATACACATGAATTTTAGTCACCCTAACTTCATCCAGTTACCCCCTAGGAAGTAGCCAGATACCATTCAATATCTACCAACCTATGCAATACACCATTGATGGACTATCCTCCATGAACTTATCTAGTTCTTTTTTGAACCATGTTAGAATATAGATATTCCGGCCTGCCTGTAAAGGCCTATACTTTAAGAACATAAGTACATTTTTATCACTTAGCTAGTTACAGGGGTATGAAAACAAAGAGTCAAAATCACAGTCCGCCTTTGTATGGGCCATCTCTCACTAGGATAGTCTGAGGCCTTGTTCCTAGCCTAAGGCTTTTGGCTAAGCAGCAGAGGCAGCCATAAACTGGGAAGCGTACGGTCACACCCTCACATTCCAAACAAGTCACACTGAAATAAGGTGGTATTGGGCTGTTAGGAAGACGATCCTGTCCTGATAGTGCCCATCACCACCAGATAAAGAAACAGATCTTAAGATGGTTAAAGGAAACTTAGTCTGATAGCATCCTGTCTGGCAAAAAATCACTTGTCAATTGTTATGGTTGTAAAACCCTCATTTCTGTATTGTTTTATCTTTATGGCCCCCACTTTTCTATTGTTAATCTGTCTGGTTCTCTAATTGTTTCTGTCTGATGTATAATTAATTTTGCTAGCTGTAAGTTAATTAGGGTAGTGGGATATAATTGATTAGAGAATTATGTTACAATACGTTAGGATTGGTTAGTTAAATTTCAGTAAAATGGATAAGGTATAGCTGAGAATATTACTATATAAACTGGGGTCAAACAGGAAGTGTGGGGGGATTGGAATAATATTTGCTAAGGGGGGGAAGGGAACAGGGAATAGGGAATGGGGAACAGGGACAGAGGCAAGACTCTGCAGCATCAGAGCTGGGAAGGGGGACATGAGGTAAACACTCTGTGGTGTCAACGCTGGGAAGGGGGACACGGGGTAAATGCTCTGCGGCATCAGAACTGGGAGTGGAACACTGGGGAACAGACTCTATCGGCGTATAGAGATAAGCCCGACTGGTGAGAAGGGCTTCGGAATATGCTTGCTTGAAAACTAACCCCAGTAAACATCGCATTGTCTGTGCTTCTGACTTCTGGTCTTCTGATTTCTGTCTACGTGGCAAGAACCAGGGAAGTGGGAGGGTGAAGGGAAAGTCCTCTAACAAACCACATTATTGTTTTGGACTTCACAACATCCCTTGGCAACGAGTTCTACAGGCTGACGTGCATTGTGTGAAGAAGTATTTCCTTTTGTTTGTTTTAAACCTGCTGCCTATTAATTTCATGGGGTGCTCCCTTGTTCTTGTGTTATGTGAAGGAGTAAATAACACTTCCTTATTCACTTTATCCAACCATTCAAAATGTTATAGTCCTCTATCATATCACCCCTTCATCATCTTATTTCCAGGTTTTTTAAAATCTCTCCTCATACAGAAGCTGTTCTACATCCCTAATCATTTTTTGTTGCCCTTCTCTGTAACTTTTCCAATTCTAATATATCTGTTTTGATATGGGGGAACCAGAACTGCATGCGGTATTCAAGATGTGGGCATACCATGGATTTCTATAGTGGCATTATGATATTTTCTATCTTAGTATCTATCCCTTTCCTAATGATTCTTAACATTCTATTAGCTTTTTTGACTGCCACTGCACATTAAGCAGTTGTTTTCAAAGAAATATCCACAATGACTCCAAAATCTTTCTTGAGTGGTAACATCCAATTTAGACCCCATCATTTTGTATGTATAGTTGGAATTATGTTTTCCAATATGCATTACTTTGCATTTATCAATATCGGATTTCATCTGCCATTTTATTACCCAATCACTCCGTTTTGTGAGATTTTTGTATAACTCTTTACAATCTGCTTTGGACTTAACTGCTGTAATAAGCCATGTATACAGTGTCTCTCTTCAGGCCATGATTTTTAATGTCTAGCAGAGTTATGTATTTAGGCTCTCAAGCTCATCTTTTGAAGTGTTGTGCAGGTTTACTTAGAGGATAAGGACTAATAGGTCAGATACTGAGCCATCACTTTGTGAAAAGTGTTTGTCCACAGGTGACATGGTGTCTTTTATCATTTTCTTGTGCTAATTCATTCAAGAATGTAGTGATTGTCTTTTTTCTCCCACATATGTGTTAGTGGGGCATTTAGTGCGCTGGATGAGGTACACCACATGTTGTGATTGGCATGCGTAGGACTCATGGATCTTGAAAAGTGTGTTGTGGGGGGTATTGATCATTGTAGAAGTGGCGATAAGTCTGCAACTTTTGTATCTGTTGTTCTGGCCAGGTCTGGTTTTGCTTTGAGTTGGTGTCTCCTGGTCTTTGGGGAGCTTGTTTCTGATGATGAGCTTGGAGAGGTTGGGGGTGTGTGTGAAGACCAGAAGTGGGGATTCAGGAAAGACTGCTTCCAAGCACTACTCGGTTTGAATAAGGGTATCAGAATCTACCCAGCATAAGGTGAGTGTGAGTGAGTGTGGCAGAATTGGGCTCATAGATGTTAGGAATTATAATGGCACTTTTATAAAGCAAGGGATGAGGGTAGGAAGCACTCCTCTTCCAATGGCAACAGGATCAGGGCTTTTTTGTTTGTTTGTTTGTTTGTTTGTTTGAGTGGATGAAGGAGGTAACATCAATAGATAAAAATATCACACTAATGCCTGAGCATTATTATGTTTCCCGTTAAACATTATGTCTGATTCTACCATCCCAATTTACAATGAATTAAGTTCATTTCTGTGCCTATATGCTCATATAAAACATTCATCGAACAATTTTGAAAAGCAAAGAAATGATTGGAGATGTTCATAGACAATTTGTGAAATAAATGAAGGGGTAAAATCAATGAATATGTTCACTATGAATGTTTTTCACAGTTCTCCTCCTAACCCCCAGTCCCAGCTATGCTACTAGAACTAATGTCCTGCATTCATTAAAATATTCAGAATAGAAATCTAGCCTCATGTAATACCAATTTTACTCAAAGTTTAGCAGAAATATTCCCTGATAATTCATCCATTTCCTGTGAAATAATTTAGGTATCAGGCATTTCACTTCAAATTTTGCCTACAATTCAATGGGCAATAAACATATTATGGGGGACATAGAGCAATCCAGTAAGATAGTGATTGTCTTTAAGAATGTTATTCTGCTTAAGTGTGAGCAGTATTTTCCCCAGGGAAAAAATATGTTAAATTGGAGTTAAGAATGAAAGTAGATGTCAGAAAATTACAGGAATGTTGTAACCCCAAATCCAAACATTGCAAATACAAGAAATTCAGAGTTAAGGTTTAACTTAAGAGAAATGCATACATCTTAAGGGATGAGAATGCAGAGTTAAGGAAACCACACAACCTTAACTCCATCCTGTAGTGATGCTGATGTGAAATACGCATACATTTCTGCTGTTCACACTAGTGTTTCTAGTTCCAGATTAACTCAAATTGAGCAGTAACAAATTGGTTGAATCCCAGTTTTAAGTGCCAAATTCACCTCACCCTTTGCTATCAAAGTGACAAGTGATTTGCATGAGAAGTGTTTCCATAATAATAAAAATAATACAGATAAAGTAATAAATATTCAGAAATCAATGCAAACTCACCATTTGCCCTCATGAGTCCCTCTTAAAAACAAAAGAAAAACAAAACCATTTCAATCACATGCACTTTTAAAAAGGTAATACATGAAGTGGTGGTGGAGAACCATATCTCTCCAGGGAAGAACAAAGGGGCACAGTATCTTCCAGGGTTGTGCTGGTCAGAAGACAAAAGGGAGCAATTTACATCAAGTGGTAGGGATGTGGTGCCACAGGTCTGCCTATTCTGTGCATATTCCCACTCATCTTTACCCATCTCCACTGAATTGCTCCTGGGAGGAATCATCTCAGATGCTGCTCTCGTGATCCTATAATTCTAATGTTGTGATTATAGGCAGCTCAAACACCAGATTTGCTTATCTGGGTCTGTACAGCAATGGTTGGAGACAATTTAATATTTAGCAGTTTAGGCCAAAATTTCTAACTCTCATCTGCTCAAACCCCAGTGTCAGTCTCTCTCAACCATATGCAATCTCCACTGGTGAACCTGCTCATCTTCCCAAGTGAGATGCCCTCCAGTACTTTCATACCCTAAAATTGGGAAGTGCGCAATGGTGAATGGATTATGAGTATATTTTGGGGGTGCTGAACTTCCTCAAAAATGCATGCACCACTCATGCTACTAAAATTTTCCTCTTGTGGCCCGATAAACCCAGCCAAAGGTGGGATGAAAATGAGGACCACACAAATCTCCTGCAGACAATATTCACTCAATGGGTATGTCTACAATGAAGTTAATGGTGAAATTTCCTGCTTGGGTAGATGTACTTGGGGGCTAGCCCTGGTCGAGTTATGACACTAAAAATAGTGTAGTCACAGCTGTATGAGCAGCAGGAGGGTTTAGGCGCCCGGAGTACAACCCTCTCTAATTTATCAACATCCTTCTTGAACGGTGGGTGCCAGAACTGGACACAGTATTCCAGCAGCTGTCACACCAGTGCCAAGTACAAAAGTAAAAATTCCTACTCTGATTCCCCTGTTTATGCATCCAAGGTTCACATTAGTTCTTTTGGCCACAACATCACACTGGGAGCTCATGTTCAGCTGATTATCCACCACTACCACCAAATCTTTTTCAGTGTTACAATGCCTGGTCTCAAGCCAAGCAGCTTGATGTGATTCAGTCCCTCCCTGCCCCCCAGCTCTTGTCTCCCTTGCACCAGGGAAGAGAATAACTCTTTTCCCCACACATCACAGCAAGAAAGAATAGGAAGGTACCCTGAGTCACACATACAGTTAATAAAAAATATTACAGAAAAATTCCCACATTCCCATTTCAGGGCAATCAAGTAAAATATCCCTCAGGAATATTATTATGCTTGAGTGCAAGTGCTTTTTCCCTGGGGGTTTCAAATGTGGGTCTGCAGGATTTCTAGGTTCAGCCAGACTCCAGCTTTTCATCTGCCTATCTGTGGGGGCTTGTGTAGCTGGGACCCAGGAAGTACAACCTCAGTTTGAGTCTCTGCTCTTGAAGTTGTATTGGCAGAGTCACAATGCAGCTGATTGGCTGGCTGGCTGGCCCTACTTAAGCCAATGGCAGGAACAGGAAACTTTCTGAACAACTGGGCTCCACTCCCTTCTGGCCTGCATGACTTCTGCTTCTTGCCCCTACCCCATTTCCTGGCATCCTGACCTGGCATGACTCCTGGCATCTGATTTGACTCTGGTATCCTGACCTGGCCTGACTCCTAAACTCAGTAGCGGATTTACCATGGAGCCACTGGCCCCATGGAGCCGGGCCCACACTCCAGGGGGGCCCCAACCAGGCCCACTCTTCTCTGTGCCCCCGCTCTCTCCTGCGGGGGGCAGAAGCTTGATGCTCCTGGCACCAAGGCTCCTGCTGCAGTAGGGCAGCCAAGCTCCCCCTCCCCTGCCTCTTCTCACAGCTTGCTACCTTCCCGCCCTCCCCCTCCCTGCCGCCGATCAGCTGTTTGCTGATCAACTGTTTGCCAGCAGGAGGGTGGGGGATGAGCACAGCCGCAGCATGCTCACCTGGGGAGAGGAGGCAGAGAAGAGGTGGGGGTGGGTCCTTGGAGAGGGGGGTGGAACGAGCATATTTACTCTGACTGCAGAGCTGCACAGCCAGGCTGAAA